TAAAAATAATTAAATACCAATTTCTATTATTTTTCTCGTACTATAAAATTTTACACTAAAATTCATAATTAAACAACCAAATATATCTATATAAACAATATTAATTTTATAATTTCATTTATTTAATATTAAATTTTATTAATTTCCTAACGAATTAAAAAAAAGATAAATTCAAAACAACCAAAAAAAATAAAACTCATTTAGCGTGCTGATCGGAGATAAATGACAGTGAAGATGACCTTAAATGTCAAAATTTATAAATTATTTATATTAAAGTAAATAAAATACAAAGTTTTATTTTTTTTCTACACCATAAAATTTTATACCATACTTATAATTATACAAATTATACATCTACACAAACAACATCAATTTTACAATATTATTTAATAAAAATTACATTTTATTAATTTCCTAAAAAATGCAGAAAAGTTCAAGAAAACTTCGAAACTAAAAAACTTTGAAAAAAAAAAAAAGCTCACTTAAGGCGTAGATCGGAGATAAATGATGGTGAGAATGACCTTAGATTGCAAGATCCTAGTTGAAAGTGCTGGATTTGAAGAAAAAAGTTTGTGAAAATGCTGAAAAATAAATAAATAAATAAAGGGATTGATTTCCAGCATCTAACCTACTGGAAAATCACCCTTACCTTTGTAGACAGCAAGTAGATAATGGAGAAAGAAACAGGTGCAGAAAATGGCGAAAGAAGGGAGGAAAATCAGAAACTGAAATGGGAAACAGGCGAAGGGGTGGGGAAGAGGAGAAGTATGTAGATTCTCTGTAGACTACAATTTTTTCGGACCAACAATGGTCTGAAAATTGGTCAAAAGCTAACCCAACGTCATCTCAAAATAGATGCATGTTGGGCCATAATTTCCAGACCATTAACAGTCTAGAAAATGCAGATTATTGCCAATAATCCAGACCAAAACTGGTCTGGAAAAAAAGGTGGTAGGGGCTGCATTTTTCTGTAACTAATTCAAACCAAAGTTGGTCTGGAAAAATTGTCAAAAGTTGGCTGCCATCTTGTCACAGCAGAGCAAATATTCTACACATAATCCATACCAAACTTGGTCTGGATATACCCAATAAAATTGCTTCAAAACAGATCCACATTGGGCCATAATGTCCAGACAATTAACAGTCCGAGGAATGTAGATTATTGGCCATAATCCAGACCAAAACTAGTTTAGAAAAACGGTGGTAGGGGCTGCATTTTTTCTGCAACTAATTCAGACCAAAGTTGGTCTGGAAAAAGTGTCAAAAGCTGGCTACCACCATATCACAGCAGAGCAAATATTCTGCACGTAATCCGTACCAAACTTGGTCCGGATATACCTAGTAAAATTGCTTCAAAATAGATGCACGTTGGGCCATAATGTCCACACAATTAACAGTCTGGGAATGCAGATTATTGGCAATAATCTAGACCAAAACTGGTTTGGAAAAAAAATGTGGTAAGGGTTGCATTTTTCTGCAACTAATTCAGACCAAAGTTGGTATGAAAAAGTGTCAAAAAGCTGGCTACCATCATGTCACAGCATATCTAATTTTCTGCATATAATCCAGACCAAAGATGGTCCAGATATACCCAATAAAATTGCTTCACCTACCGGCGACGATAAGAAATTACTTCCCCATTTTTCAGACCATTCTTGGTCTGGAAATTTTAAAAAAAAATCCAGCAGCGCAAATCACTGTTTTTTTTTTTTTTTTGTTGAAAATATTCAGACCATGGTCAGTTTGAATATTTTTTGCGCACTTTACTGTATTCCCGCCAATTATTTTTAGACCGTTTGTGGTCTTAATATAATCGATTGAGCTGGTGTGACCTACCAATAAATATCCAGACCAATTTTGGTCTGAATAAAATATTTTTCGGACCGTTTTTTGTTGGTCTGAATTATGTCGGTCTGAACATCTAAAATTTCTAGTAGCGACCCCACCTACTTTCATGCAAGGTAATAACTCGTCTGCGTTTCTTTCTCTACAATTACTCCCCTTGAGACCTTCTCTCTCTAGGATATTGAGTATTGCTAACTTGAGTGTTGGAGTATATTCCGAGGAAACATTCTCGGGTTTTTCAAGTGTTGAAGTAGTTGAAGATCTCTATAATGTAGGTTCGTGAAGCTGCCCAAACATTTTGGTGCCGTTTGTGGGAATCGAACAAAAAGTGGTGTTGCTTAACTAATTAAAGTTAAATATGGTATGTACCTTTATCGAAAGTCAACCTCCCCCATTGGACAGAATGGACAATCAAAGTAACGCTTAGCTTCCAGAGTTTAACCCCAACAACTTTTGACCCATGCCCATAAATCTTTTTGTAGGAGGGGCAAAAGAAGAGCAATTAAGTAGTTTAGATGATGAGCGAACGCTCACGGGGTAAGTTACTTAGCCTGAGGAGCAATTCCAAGCTCCAAGAGACACACGATGAAGGTATTCCATCTGTAATGCACAACGTCCTAGCAGGCTTTTGGACTCAGCTGGAATGTCCGAGTTGGAAGAAAGAACTAGATTTCTGGAAATGGCCATGGGAAAGATTCTTTCCGGCTTAATTCTTGATGACCCTTTGATTCCCTTATTGAGTAGGGGTAGCCAACTTGTAGAAGTTGTTGCCCATAACTCCCCTACCTTGAGTAATGTAATCATATCGACTAAACCAAGAGGAAATGGGAAGTTGAACCTTGAACCCAACTAGTCCAAACTCAACAAAGAAATATTAAAGAAGAATAGTGAGCTCGAAAAGCAACTTGAAGGCATACAAAAATCTATTGACGAGTTGAGAAGCGCCAAGTCACGCCAACAGCCCCTGACATGGATAGGGCTCCTCTTAGCGTACCTATCACTGCAGAAACTTATCAAGAGGGATTCAAAATTTCTCATCTAGAGACATATGATAGCTCTAGTGATCCAAATGAACATTTGCACACTTACCAAGCCATCATGAAAATACAAAATGCAACAGACGCCATGATGTGCAAAGTGTTCCCTGTCACTTTAAAGTCAACAGCCAAAAGGTGGTATCATAAACTACCAAGACACTCTATCAACTCCTTTTCTCAACTCGCTACTTTGTTCTCCAACAAATTTGCGAGTCAACGAGAAATAAAATGCACAGCCACAAAGTTGGTGCAAGTCCACCAAAAAGAGGGAAAGTCATTGAGAAACTACATGCAGTGTTTCAACAAAGCCACCTTAGACATTGACAATGTATTGGACACAATCTGCTTGTCTGCTCTGCTACATGGCTTAAAACCTGGTCGGTTCTTAGATGACCTGCTAGAAGATCCACCAAAGTCGTGGAGCGAAGTGAATGACAGGTCAGTAAGTTTCATCTTATCGAAAGACTTTCAATTCATCAAACATCTTATATTGGAGTTGCTTCCAGAAGATGCAATTGAACCCGGCTTCCCTCAAGAAATATTAAAGACCTATGTACAAGTTTGATAATCAGCCCATCCCTGTCGAAGGAGTAGTCATACTCCCCATCTATGTGGGTATTGAGCCTCGGTTTAGGATGACATTAGTGAGCTTGGCGGTTAAAATGGAATTGGCTTTCAATGCCATAATTGGGAGGGCCACGCTCTGTGAGTTAAAGGATATCATTTCATAGCCACATCTATGCATGAAATTCTCGACTCCCCATGGGATAGAAGTGATCAAGGGAAATTAGAAGATGACAAGAACCTGCTATCAAGACACATTCAAGAAGGTAGACCTCGTTGCAGCACCTAAAGCCCATCTTCATAGATTCCCCAGCTAAGCTAGCTCGGTCAGCAAACAATGAGCATCTCTAACATAGATCACCGACCTAAAAACGTAGAACAGAAGCTTGAGCTGGTGGAACCTGTGGAAACAGTCCCTTTAGACCTTGAGTAGCTAGAAAAAACCATGAGGATTGGAACTAAACTCACAGTGGAGGAGAAGAGAGAGCTTCTACAGTTTTTGAAAAGTAATAAAGATATTTTTTCTTGGACAACAGATGAAATGTCAAGAATCCCAACAAAATTTGCAGTTCATAAACTTAGCACAAATCCTATTAGGTAACCGATGGTGCAAAAGCATTGCTTTTTTGGCCTAGAAAAATGAGCTGCCATAGATGAGGAAATTCAGAAACTTTTGCAAGTAGGTTTTATCAAAAAAGTGGAATACTCGGAATGGGTGTCCAACATGGTGCTTGTTAAGAAACCCAATGGCAAGTGGAGAATATGCATTAATTTCACTAATCTGAATGACGCGTGTCCCAAAGATCCACACCCATTACCCAATGTCGAGAAGTTAGTGGAACGAGTAGTTGGTCACGAACGCATGAGTTTCCTAGATGCTAGCTCAAGATATCATCAAGTTCAGTTATGGCTAGATGACCAGGAGAAAATGACATTTTATGTTGGGGATGTAATTTACTACTATGTTATGATGCCGTTTGGGTTGAAAAATGCCAGGGCCACATATCAAAAGTTAGTTCAGCTTGTTTTCAAACTTCAGATCGACAGAAACATTGAAATATATGTTGATGACATAATTGTTAAGAGTTTAAAAGCTAAAAACCACATTGACAACCTAAATGAGACATTTCAGAATCTGACACCAGCACAAATGAAGCTAAACGCTTTCAAATGCATGTTTGCCATTGAATTAGGTAAATTCCTAGGCTGTGTGGTTTCCAAGAAAGGAATCGAAATAAATTCAAAAAGGGTTCAGGCCATCAAACAAATGGAACCCCCCAAGACAGTGAAATATGTACAACATCTGACAGGTCATCTTGCTGCCTTACACAGGTTTATCTCCAGGTCGGCAGAGAGATGCCTTCCATTTTTTAAAATCCTGAGAGATCCCAAGAAATTTCAGTGGACAACTAAGTGCCAATAGGCTTTTGATGAACTTAAAAAGTATCTGGTGTCACCACCTTTCCTTTCCAAACCTATTGATGAGGAGAAGCTGTACATGTATTTAGGTGTAGCAGATGAGGTAGTGAGCTCGGTCTGATTACGGGAGCAAGACAAACCCCAAAGGCCCATTTGCTACACAAGAAAGATTTTGCAGGGTGTAGAACAAAATTATCAGATATCAGAGAAGGTTGCCTTCGTACTTATTTATCCTGCTCAGAAGTTACTAGCATACTTCCAATCTCATCCAATTGTTGTTTTTATTAACCTGTCATTGAGAAAAATATTATAGAGGCCCGAGCTTTCAGGTCGTTTGATTGGGTGGGATGTGGAGCTTAGTGAATACGATGTCAAATTTGAACCCTATACCATTATAAAGGGCCAAACCCTAGCAGATTTCTTAGTTGAGTGCCACTCTACAACTACAGAAGAAGCTATAGCTTTGAACCCCATATGGGCCTTGTATGCAGATGAAGCTACAAATAGTGAAGGTTCTAGGGCTGGAGTAGTATTAATTGGTCCAAATGGTTTCAAGTCAAAACACATCCTGAGATTCAAATTTCGGGCAACTAATAATGTTGCTAAGTACGAGGCACTCATTTACAGTCTGAAATTAGCCATCGAACTGAGGGTTCAAGACATAAGAGTCTTTAGTGATTCTCAGCTCGTTGTGAATCAGGTCAAGGGATATTGTGACATTGAAGATCCTCAGTTAGCTCAGTATTGTTCTATGATTTGTCGGTTAAAAACAAGCTTTGTCTCCTCAGAATAGACAAAATAGCCCACGTAGATAATTGATGAGCTGACAAACTATCCAAGCTGGCTTCATCGTAGGACATAAGCCCCCGCCGAACTACATGTGTTAAGGTTCTCAACGCTCTAAGTTATGTTGACTCAGTATCTGATTGTCAAGTGTTAACCACTGATCCATTGTCGTCAAGCTGGACCACACCATTGGTTAACTATCCACAGAGTGGTGAACTACCAAAGGACCCAGCTGAGGCTATGTTGGTCAGATGCATGGCAGCCCATTTTACTTTAATTGATGGCCAGTTGTATAAACGAGTAGCCTTAATGCCTTTATTACATTGCCTTACTCCATATGAATCTGAATATGTTGTAAGGGAAATCCACGAAGGAGCTTGTGGCACCCACATAGGTGGAAAAATGTTAGCTCGAAAGCTTTTGAGGCAAGGATACTATTGGCCCAACATGGTTGAAGACATAAAGAATTATGTCAAAAAATGCCCAACTTGGCAGTTCCACTCTAATGAAATTCACATGCTAGGTAACCTAGCTCGTTTTGGCATTAACAAATCAATCTGTCTAACTTCCACATTCATCTTTGGACTAAAAACGTATACCTGCCTATTATAAGAGAAATGCTATCCTTCATTACATCGCCCTGGCCTTTTGCTCAATGAGAAGTAAGACCTACTCGAGCCATTCATTAAGGGCAAAGGAGGCTGCACACATCTTATTGTTGCCGTGGATTGCTTCACTAAATGGATAGAGGCCAAACCATTGTTCGCGACAATAGAAAAGAAAGTGGAAAAATTTTTATTCAGCTTGGTGTTGTGCAGGTACAGTTATAATATTAACCTCAAACTATACTAAGCACTCGAGTATTTGCTTAATCACCCAGCCTATTAGTTCATATTTAGGTTTGGTATCCCTCAACGCATTATTGCAAACAATGGCCCTCAATTTTGAGCTACAGCACTCAAGTCATTTTGTGAAGATTATGAAATCCAGCTCGTCTTTACGTCCGTTTACACACCACAGGAAAATGGACTAGCAAAATCTTCCAATAAAATCATCTTGTGTAGCCTTAAAACACGTGTCTTAACTATGTAAACAAATTGGGTTGATGAGCTTAACACAGCGTTATGGTCATGTCTCACAATGCCTAGCTTTGCCACGGGTGAAACCCCGTTCTCCCTATCATTTGGAACGGAAGCAGTCATCCTCGTGTTGAGAGGTGCGCCGAGCTAGAGAACTATTCACTATAATGAATGTATCAATGAGTAGCTGTTAAGGGAAAAAATTAATCTTCTTGAAGAAGCGAGGGAGTCATATGAATAAAAAATGTAGGTTATCAAGCTCGAGTCGCTAAGATTTATAATAAAAGGGTGTGTGCTCATTAGTTTCAGGACTTAGTTTTATGCAAGGCTGGACTCACCAATGCTTATTCACACATGGGCAAGCTTGATCCTAATTGGGAGGGTCCTTACATGGTTATTGCTATTAAATGACCTAGGTCAAATTTGTTAGCAGATTCACAAGGTCATCAATTACCATTTACTTGGAATGTACATAATCTTAGAAAGTTTTATAATTAACATTTGTTGTGGAGCTATAAAGTGTATACATTCATTCAATGGTTGAGAAATGAATTTCACAAAATATTTCTATTGTTTCATTCAAATGATATTGCACGATACATTAATCAGAAAATGAAACAATCAAAAGTTAAAAAAAAAAAAGATAAAAAAAATAATTGCAAGTTGCCCCCTCAATCATTTGTCAAATCTATGGGATTAGAGGTTGTAGTGTTTTGGTGAGCTAGAAAGTGAAAGGCCTAAGAGAGTGGTGGAGTGTTAGAAGGCTTAGCCTCTTCAGTAGGAATTTCAGCTACCCAAGCATCAAAACTCGGCAAGGAATCCTAGTCTTCCCCTTTTTCCGAAATGTTGGGTGGCCATACTGGCACCCCATCTTCTTTCAATTCCCATTTGAGGTGAACTGTCATATCAACGGGAGGCAACAAACTTTTTCCTTATTCATCAATCTCCTCTCCCTCTACAAACGTCAACTCACCAAGGGGAAGTTAGGCCAGTGCCATAACAACCTTACACAAAGCTCATCATAAATCTGTGCTATGGTGTTCATAGATGTAACGACCACAATGTCTTGGAACATTTTTTACTTGAGTAGCCACTCCGCCCTTTGAGCTCGGGCCATGCTAATGGAGTGCTCATAAGATAACTTTATTTGATCCAAGGCTTGCTGCCTACGCACAACATTTTGATCTACCGCAGCCACTCGAGCCCTTAGAGGGCTAAACTCGTTCATAACGCCTTCCCTTTCAGCCTCTACCTTTTCCACCCGTTCTTCTACACGCCAAGCCTCCTCCTTAGCGACTTGAATGCCACTTTCCTTCTCGACTTGAACCTTCTCCAGCTCTTCCTTTAACTCAAGAACCTTATTATTCAACTCGTCAGCTCGGCACTCTACAAACGCTGCTCGGTTAGTCATCTCAAAGCTCTGTAAGTGATTCACCTCTTCCTCCAAGCTCACCTTCTTGGAAGTCAGCCACTTGCAACTTTCTTTGAGCTCGCGTGCTTGCCCCCGTGCCCCCTGCTTGCACTCGAATAGTGCCACAACATAGTTAAAGGCCTACCATCCAATTCACGATATTAGATTTAATATGAGCATATATCGCATCTAATGCTAACAATTAACAATGATACATACGTCCATCAACTTTAGCCTAGTCGCGTGACCATTGTTTTGTTGCACAAAACTCTTAACGCATTGCTGGTCCACAAAAGGGACAAAGTTGTGCATACCCTACAGCATGGAGGCATGACAGTTCGCCTTGGTGTAGTTGAACCCTTCAAGGTATGTGATCCTAGGACCAGACACTTGTACTTGTGCAGACCTGGCCTCGGCACTACCACTGGTGGGGGCAGAAGGCACCTCAGATGAGCATGCAATGACAAGATGAGCCCTAGAGCTCGTTCGTCGCCGAATAAAGGGCACGTCGTCTTCAGCATCTAAGTCTTCACGGGCACACCTTCAAGAATCTGAAGGCAAAGTTTCAACCTTTTGCTCTACCTGTGCCTTGGACACCTAACTGGAACCTCGCTCTCAATGAGACAAGCTATGAGGTGGCGCCATTGGTCATTCATCAAATCACGTCTGCTTATGCGGGTTAGCCTCCTTGCGCCTGCTCCTCAACCGTTGCACACGTTCTCACCGTCTCTCTAACATGCTGCTCATCTCTCTTGCGTAAATAAGCACAAATAAGAATAGCTCGATTGAAACTCTAAATTTACAGAAGAAATATATCTTCGGTATAAAGGTTTGCAGATACCTCTAATTACTTTGGGGTAACCAAGTCATCTAAATCCACCAACCCCTCTTCTTTCACGTAAGCTAGCAACTGATTCTTTAGATCCACATCATGAGGTGTTAGTTAGGGATAATTCATGTATGTTTGAGTAGTGCGACACTCAAATATCTGGGTAGCGAGTTCATTACTCATCCTTTCCATCCAAGTATCATTAACGAAAATGAATTGCCTCTTCCACCTCGTAATTTTGTTCGTCAAATTAGTAAACAACATCATTTTTTCTCCCTCCCAAAGATGTAGTACCATCTCATTTGGTTGTTGGCTATCCTACGCAAGAACAGCAACTTGAATACCATCACTTTCATAGGTATCTATAATGTTGCACACAGCAACATAAACCCAATGATGAATTTTATGCTGTTGGGGTTAGTTGCGTTAGTGTTAGCTCGTACTCTGTCAACATGTCAAAAATCAGCTCGGGCAAGGGAAACCGTAATCCAACCTTTAAATGATCCACATATACGGGAATCCATCTTGTTCTTGACACAACACGCTCTCTCGTTTTTGGTACCAGCCTGGACTAATATTGTCTTTGGGATCTGAAACCGCTTCACCATCTCTCCAAATTGTTAAATCGTGTAATAGTGGTCGCATCGTCTGCTACATCATGGTGGAGCGCCACTCTAAACCTAAATCCCAAAGGCAAATTTTGCGACACCTTATAGATGTTATCCAACTTCCCAATAATGGGAATGTTCTCCCACACATCCATTACTGGCACACTCTCCTTTGTGTTCGTAAACACTGGAGCATTGTGGCTGTTCCCCTCACCCCTACCATCATGGGGCGTCGCCTCTGCAGACGGACTATTAGAAGTTGAGGAATGATGGCTATCGGCGTCACCATGTGCGCTTGAACTAGGGCTACTTTTCAGCGTAATGGCCTTCGAAAAATCCTGTAATTCCAGTGGTACTACCATTGTAATCGGTTCCACGGATACAACACCCTCTTCCTCTTCCCTTTCTTGGTTACCTTGAAGCTCTCTAAGTTCTCTAAAAAATTCCATTTTTACCTGGTTTTAGTGATGACAATGTCTCCTTATGTCTTCAATTTTAGAACTTCACACAAAAACACAAGACACCTTCGCTATAAAGAAATGACAAGGAACTGTAGAGAACAAACAACCAAAATGGTAATAAAATCATTTCTGGTTCTTTTCTGCGACAGTTCATGCAATTTTAATTTCCACACGCATTCATGCGACACGCTAGTGAAGTTCCCACATGTGGCAACCTAATGTCTAACATCCGCCAGCTTTAACTATCAAGTCTCTTCCAATGTTGCACCAACATTTATTGCGGGGTGGTAAAGGGAGATTAACTGTTTTGAACCATATCTTAGCAAAGATCTATTTCTAATTTTTTTATAAAAAAAAAAATTAAAAGATTTGCCATGGATTAGCTTGTTTAAATCAACTCGTTCAAAATGAGTTCGATCAAAAACATTATCTCTTGATTTGTTAATTGTTATGAACCGTTTATCCATGCAAATCTATGTTCAGTGTTAAGAAGGTTGAAAGATTCCTCCGTGGATCAGATCGTTTAATGTCAGCTTGTTCGATCATATCGTCTCAAAATTTACTCTGAATTCACCATGGAGATTCATTTTGCACATTTCAAAATCACGCTTAGTGAGGTCATTCAAAAATGTGAAACAAGGCCGAACCTCGTTGTCAACGCATCAGATTGCCCAAGTCTAAGTCCCATAAAATATAAAATATGCTAAAATTAATCGTGGTGACGATCTCGCTCAGTGACGAGCTCATATGCAATATGGGATTTTCATGATGAGCGTTGGGCCGCCATTATGACCACCCCAATTCGTCAACCAACACTAAGGGGGAGTAATGTTTGGAATAGGCCCAACAGTTACGCCACAGGCCCAACAAGCCCACAAACATGCCCAGAAGCCCCAAGTAACCTCAAATATAGGCACACTCACCTAGGTACACCCACGTAAGTGATGGCACATGGATTGACCAAGTATTTACATGTGGATCATGATACCACTAGCGGAGGGTTATAAATACCCCCACTTACCTTTATGCAAGGAAATAACTCCTTTACGCTTCTCTCTTTGCAATTAGTCCCCTTGAGACCTTCTCTCCCTAGGATATTGAGTATTGCTAACTTGAGCGTTGGAGTGTTTTCTCGAGGAAACATCCTCGGGTTTTTTAGGTGCTAAGAAATTGAAGATCTCTACAGTGTAGGTTCGTGAAGCTGCCCAAACAGGATGAGTGTTGACAATGACAAAAAAACAGAATATTGATTCACCTATATTATTTGGATTGGATGCATGACAATTTCTTGGAAACTTTCCTCGGATTTGATACAATGTAGATGATTTAAGTTACTGAACTTTGCGTAGTTCTACAATTTATAACCAAATAATTGGGGTTTACAATTTGAACTATGCACTATAATCAAAATTATGAAAATATTTTTAATAAATTAAGTGGTTGCCAAAAAATTTAAGACGTTTAAAAATTAAAATGTCAATATTTTTTTATAAAATTTTCAAAATTTTTAATAAATTAATATTAAAAAATTTTATTATTAATATTTAAATAATTTTATAAAAAAAATTTAATATTTTAAATATAAACACTTTAAGTATGATTACGTCTTAATTTTTTATTTTTTTATAATTTAAAATTAAAAAAAGCCTCCTTAAGGCTTGTACTACACCATTTTTCTTGAGTGCTTCGTACTAACACATTTTTTCAACTATTTTAACAATTTAACTCCTGTCCAATCATTCGGCCCAATAAAACTAATTCAATTTCTGATCCAACCCAACATGAAGAAGAGATGGATTGATGTAGTTAATTCAATAATATCAAACTAGTAGTATAATATGAGGGCCGTAGTCATTAATTCTAGTTGAATATGAGGGTCTCCATAAGATTTGCTTCCATTGTGGTGAATTTGGAGACACAAAGGACGCTTGTCATGTTAAGAATTTGAGGAAATGTGTTTCTATGGGTAATTCTAACGCCTAAGCCCGATCGAACTCACACAAGCTTTGTAGCTAGATCTGGCAAAGCCTTACATGGTTTTTGGCCCATGGATAGTCTAGCAATGTAAGCTATAGCAGAAGAGTTCGATGTCTCAACCTGCAACTAGCTCGTGTCATGCACAATCTCCTAATTCTTTGGTGCCCCCATTCTCAACTCTGAGAATTCCAACAAAAACTAGGGTAGTTGAGAGGCATGACGAGAGTAATGTGCAGCAATCCATGTGACAAAATCACTTTGAGGTAATTGTAGAATTGATGGATGAGGAAGTTGATCTTCTAGGTTCCAAAAAAGGAGATGAGGTGGTTATAATGGGTGGCTCCATACTTTCAAATGATGTTGTTACGTTTATGGATTCTACCCTTTCCCCAAGCCCCAATGCACTTCCGCTAGCCCAAGCTCATGTTACCCCGAGCCAGCCCATTAAGCCTATGCCCATTCCTCCTCTGGCCAAGTCCACCTTGTTCGTCAAACCCAAATCCAAGTCTTCTAAGAAGAAAAATAAGATTTTTGGCCCCATGCTTAAGGAGACTAAAACTAGTGCATAGAAACCTTATAATTTGCCCCTTGCCTCCAAAAGGCAAAGTGGTCCCATGTTTCATCGACACCTTCTCTTGTGCCTAGCAACTAGGAGAAGCCACCCATTTTGCCTTTTACACCACCAATACCACATATAATGAGTCCACCACAAGCTTTGCCAATAACTACACCTACCTATCCTTTGCCACCCATAGCCCTTATCTCCATACCTAATTCAATGCCACCATAGGCTAGCAATTTGATTTCTTTGGTTGTAATTCTTGGTACAGCCACTTTAACTTCTACATATTCTCAATGAGGATTGTGACTTGGAATAAAAGGGGGGGGTTAAACATGCCACTTTTAAGAGGGAGTGTCGCGAACTACTTAAAATGCACTACCCTGATGTTATTTGTTTTCTTGAAATCAAGACAGATTGAGCTACTAATGGTTTAAAGTTTTTGAGGCATTTTGGTTCTAACAAAAACCATCAAATTTTATCTCTGGTAACGATGAAAGGGCTTTGATTTTTTTGGTGCTCATCTTCAATGAGTTTGGATATTCTATGTAGTTCTTCCTAATTTATTCATTACTCTTTATCTCAACAAGTCAGATGTCTAGTCACTTTTGTTTATGTATAGTCACATGTTGGTAAGAAAGACTTGGTTTGGATTGAGTTAAAAGGTCTTACAGGATGTATATCTAGAAGTTGGATGGTTATGGGAGATTTTAAGGATATACTTTCTATTAAATAAGCCTCACCTATGGCAACTGGAGGCTTTGCATGTGCACAACGTTTTAGAGACAGAGTAACAAAGTGTGGTTTGTACTTTACAAAACCTTTAGGGTGCAAATTTACTTGGTTACATAAACAAAACAAGAGGGTGCTTCTAAGAGAGCACTAAGGCTTTTCAACTTTGTGGCACTTGAATCCTTTCTAGTTGCTAAAGTGAATTTGCCTTGATTTTGCAATGATCATCATCTTATTTTGCTTTGCCTAGATGAGTCACATCTAATTGACATGCATTCTAAACCTTCCCGTTTTGAAGCTGCTTGGTTGACTCATAAAGCTTTCAAATTTGTTTTTACCCAGGCGTGGTTGTTGCATGCCTCTTCCCTACCAAATGCCATTAAGTCATTCAATGGAATAGAAAGGTGTTTGGTAATTTATTTCATCATAAAAGGTAGTTAAAGGATAGATTGAAGGGTATTCAAAACTTCATGCATGATGCCAACTTTAGTTTTGTGCAGAATTTGGAAGTAGTTTTGTTGTAAGAGTACCATCAAGTTCTACATGTTGAAGGAATATTTTGGTGTCAAAAATCACATATAGAGTATATAGTTGCCGGTGATAGGAATGCGAGCTTTCATCATGCCTCAACCATAGTCTGACAAAGTAGCAATTGGATTTATGCTTTAAAGGTTGATGGTGGGTGGGTGAAAGAGCCTGATAATTTAGAACAATATATAAGGGATTTTTTTGTGGGCTTGTTCATGAGGAAGGACACTTTTTCCTCCCTTAGAGACTACTCTGCCTATCAACCTTGCCTTTTTGAGACGGATGGTGCTTCCCTTTTGAAGCCAGTATCTTTAAAGGAAGTTTGGATTGCTCTATATTTCATGAAGGGCCTCAAAAGTCCAGGGTTGGATGGTATCCAACCTATTTTTTATCAAAAGCACGGGGAGGAGGTTTTAGGTACTTTACACTGCTTTGTAAATAATGCCCTAAGAGATGGTTACTTTAAGCATTCTCTGTTATAGGCTCATATCACCCTTATTCCTAAAGGAGAGAACCTAGATATTATTTAGAAGTTTCACCCCACTTGTCTGCTTAATGTCACCTATAAAGTATCATCCAAAGTCATTGTTAATCGGTTAAGGCCTTTTCTTCAACAACTAATATGGCTAATTCAAAATAGCTTTACAGCAGGTAGAAGCACTACAAATAATATTATTCTTACTCAGTAAGCTGTACATTCCATGTGTAAGAAAAGAGGAAGGAAAGGTGCCAATATCTTCAAAATAAACCTTAGTAAGGCTTTTGATAGTATTGATTGGAATTTTCTACATTCAGTCTTGATTGATTTTAATACTCCAGCCCACTTAATTAGATTAATCATGTTTTTTGTGTCTTCCTTGCAACTTTGAGTTCTTTGAAATGGGGAAGAGCTACCATCTTTCCAACCACAATGGGGTTTACGTTAAAGGGACCCTCTTTCCCCTATTTGTTCATTATGGTTATGAAAAAGTTGTCTCATATGATTTAGAGTAGATTGTAATCTAAATCATGAAGGTTGCTTAGAATTTCTAGAGGAAGACTAGCTTTGTCACATTTATTTTTTGTAGATGATCTTATGCTTTTTTGTGATGTTTCTCAAACTCAAGAGGAGACTGTCATGGACTGCCTCAATGAATTTTCAAAGGAATTAGGGTTGGAAACAAATTTGTCTAAGTCTAAAATGTATGTTTCACCAAACATTCAAAGTCATGTTACTAGGGTATGGAGTGAGGCTTGTGGTATCCCCTTAACTAAGGATCTAGGCACCTATGTAAGGGTCCTAATTCTTCATGA